AACAACTAAATTACATTTCTAAATAGTTATAAAACAGTGGAATCGAGTTGAGGTGAATGGGATTGAGATCATTTGTGTGTATGTGTGTGTGTGTGTGTGTGTGTGTGTGTGTGTGTGTGTGTGTGTGTGTGTGTGTGTGTGTGTGTGTGTGTGTACTCACCTAATTGTGCTTGCGGGGGTTGAGCTTTGGCTCTTTGGTCCCGCCTCTCAACCGTGTGTGTGTGTGTGTGTGTGGTGTGTGTGTGTGTGTGTGTGTGTGTGTGTGTGTGTGTGGTGTGGTGTGTGTACTCACCTAATTGTGCTTGCGGGGGTTGAGCTTTGGCTCTTTGGTCCCGCCTCTCAACCGTGTGTGTGTGTGTGTGTGTGTGTGTGTGTACTCACCTAATTGTGCTTGCGGGGGTTGAGCTTTGGCTCTTTGGTCCCGCCTCTCAACCGTGTGTGTGTGTGTGTGTGTGTGAGGAGAGAGCTTCCTTACTAAGGTGTCTAGCTCTCACTTGAGAGAGGAAGGGTAGGTGGTTCCCACGGTGGTCGTCTCGAAGGGTCATGGAAAGTGTCCATGGATTCCTCTACGACATTCCTGCCTCCAGGTGTATGTGTGTGTGTGTGTGTGTGTGTGTGTGTGACTGACCTGCCAGTCTCCCTGGACGCTCCTTCGCCTTGATGTTTCCGCTTGTTCCAGACCATATATCTTGAGGTTATCTTGAGAGGATTTCGGGGCTTTAGTGTCCCCGCGGCCCGGTCCTCGACCAGGCCTCCACCCCCAGGAAGCAGCCCGTGACAGCTGACTAACACCCAGGTACCTATTTTATTGCTAGGTAACAGGGGCAGAGGGTGAAAGAAACTCTGCCCATTGTTTCTCGTTGGCGCCCGGGATCGACCCCGGGACCACAGGATCACAAGTCCAGCGTGTTGTCCGCTCGGCCGACCGGCTCCCTCTATGGTGATTTTATTTCTCAGCTTGACACATTGAAGGAAATGTATTGGTATTTGCTTGAATGTAAATACAGTATTTTTATAACGAACACGAATTGAGTGTCTTAGACCACGAATCCAAAGTCTTATGGAAACAGGAGGTTAAAGTCTCAAAAGAATTGTGAATAAAGAGAGTTTTTTTATGTTCTGAAGGTTATACTGTATGTGCGTGTGGCAGTTTGTGCGTGTGGCAGTTTGTGCGTGTGGGAGTTTGTGCGTGTGGCAGTTTGTGCGTGTGGCAGTTTGTGCGTGTGGCAGTTTGTGCGTGTGGCAGTTTGTGCGTGTGGCAGTTTGTGCTAGTCTGTGCACCAGTTCTCAGAATCGCAGTTCCCGTTAGTGACTCCAAGACTGAGGCACATAAAGTTAGTTTTTTTTTATCCAGTCTGACCTCTCCAGACGAATGAAGGAACTGAGGCACGACCTGATAAAGGACATGAAGAAGATGAGGAGGAAGAGATTAGAGAGAGGAAGAGATAAGAGAGAGGAAGAGATAAGAGAGAGGAAGAAGAAGATGAGTCTGATGGTACCAGAAGTGACTATAGCGAAGGAGAGATGACGGTGAACACATTGCTGGTGAGTTATCTTGAGGTTATCTTGAGATAATTTAGGGGCTTAGCGTCCCCGCGGCCCGGTCCTCAACCAGGGCTTCCTTTTTGTTACACACCCCTCAGGAAGCAGCCCGTAGCAGCTGTCTAACTCCTAGGTATACCTATTTACTGCTAGGTGAACATAGGCATCAGGGTGAAAGAAACATTTTGCCCATTTGTCTCCGCCTCCACCGGGGATCGAACCCGGAACCTCAGGACTACGAATCCGAAGCGCTGTCCACTCAGCCGTCAGGCGCCCGAGTGGGAACAGAACCTCAATAGAATCTATTTACTGTACAGCTGATATCTTGTGTGATATCATGCTAGATATCCTCTCACGGAGAGAGAGAGAGAGAGAGAGAGAGAGAGAGAGAGAGAGAGAGAGAGAGAGAGAGAGAGAGAGAGAGAGAGAGAGAGAGAGAGAGAGAGAGAGAGAGAGAGAGAGAGAGAGAGAGTGGGGGGGGGAGGGGCCGGACCGTGTATGGTGTTCCATGTATTCTTTTTGTAAGTCTTTAGAAAGTCCAAAAATATAAAGGCTGAGATATTTTAAAGAGTTCATTGTCATATGCCGCCAGCCTCGCCCCCCCCTCTCACCTTGCGTCACGCCCCCCCTTCTGCGTCACCGCCCCCCTCTGCGTCATCATCCCCCACTCTATGCACTACCCTCCCCCCTGCGTCACCCATTGAAACGCACCCAACTACCTATAGCTGCGTCCCCTCTGCGTCCCTTCCCCTTCCCTGCGTCCCCATTTGCGTCCCCTCCTGCGTCCAACTTTCCTGTCACCTTTCTCCCTCACACTCTAACTCTGTGACGCCTCGTCGCATTCTCTCGACGTGGCAGTGTGTCAGGCTTCCTGTGTAGTGTGATACACCAGGAGGACGTCCTGTGATTGATTGATTGATGAAGGTGCCACCCAAAAGGTGGCACGGGCATGAATAGCCCGTAAGTGGTGGGGCCCTTTTGAGCCATTACCAGTATCAAGAGCTGATACTGGAGATCTGTGGAGGTGCGACTGCACCCTGCTTGACGGGAGATGTCTCTCGTGAGGACGTCCTGTGTAGCAGTGGTTCTTATATATATATATATATATATATATATATATAAGCTTAATATGTCATAATGGCCCGTGACACAGCCCTCGACCATCACAGGGCATTTGGCCGAGCTATAGTTGCGGAACGGTCGAGGGAATGTTGATGACCCTTCCCTTAGAATTTTATTTTTTTGATTTAGAATCTTCGGATGAAGGCTTGGGTGTGTGTGTGTGTGTGTGTGTGTGTGTGTGTGTGTGTGTGTGTGTGTGTGTGTGTGTGTGTGTGTAAGCAGCATATACGTACAAAAGTGGACATCTCTGCCAAGGGATACATAGTCATACCGGCTTGCCTAAGGCATATATAGTCATGCTAGCTAAGAGGTTTTACCATGTAACAATACTATGGCTGCTTGTTACAGTAGAGGCCTCTGGTACATGGCGAACACAAATCCTCAATGTTGTGTATATATATGCTTACAAAGTTTTGCATTTGATGATGCTATTCAGTTAATGCTCTTTAGGTGCATCAGTTTTGTTATTGATGCTCTTCGGAAGAGCAAGGTTGTTAACTTTCTCATTTGCTTCACACAGAAATCACAATAACGCGATGCATCAAATGAACAAATCCACAAGGGCCGTGATGAGGGTTCGAACCTGCGTTCGAGAGGATCCCAGACGCTGCCTTAATCGACTGAGCTACGACATGGTTAAAAGAATTGCAACCGGAAGTTCTACTGAACTTAGGTTCGAACCCTCGTCACGGCCCTTTGTGGATTTGTTTCTCATTTGCCGTTTCAGTTAGTCTCAACCTTTCATTTCTTGGTGTTCAATGGGTCTTCTTGATCCATCTGCAATTCTAATTACCTTGCACTTATCTTGGTTGAAGTCGAGTAGCCATTTCTTCGGCCATGAAACTTATCGTGATCGTTCTGGATCACTGAGCTCACAAATTTGAGAAATGTTGCATCGTCCGCAGTGATATGAATACTCAAACCTCATTATCTACGCCATTTACATATACTGGGGATACAATAAGCCTTGGAACTGATCCTTGGGATACTCTACTTCACCAGTGAGGTCTTTTCTTTCATCTTTACGCTCGGTTTCCGACCAGAGAGGTACTCTTTAACCCAATTTAATACCTCAGTTACCACTGTTTAGTTTTGTATAGGAGTGTCTTGTGTGATAACAGTATGAATATATAATATATTAAGAATACACCCTGTTCATCAGTCCTTAATATAGTTTTTCTTATATTACTTCACAAGCTGATATGTGAAAGTAAATTTACAAAATACACAATTCACTTGAGACTTAATTATATAACTACAAAAAGACTTGAAACATCACGAAATATCTTTCATTGAAGAAATGGATAGAAAAAAATGGGAAACAACAAATAAGAACAATTACGACTAGCAGGAAAAGAGGAGCCAAGAAAAAAATCCCCCTCTTTAAGACAAAAATACAAGAAACCGCTTTCTCTCTCAGAAGATGGAAGGGACCACCAGTAGCCCCGGGTGTGAGGGGGCTAGGGTAGGGGGAAGGGGACTACTCTTACTACTAGCCCGGGTGAGAGAGGTAGACAGTGTCCGCCGTGACATTTACAGGCGTCTCCCGATCATTTACTGCGGCTAAGACTCTCCCCTTTCTTTGTAAACCGGTTGGAAGACTCTTAGTCTTCCTTCCCCTCGCGACCATTTGTAAACTAAAAGAGTGGGGAGAGAGACTTCACGCCCTTCCCCTCACTTGTGTAAATCGAAGGCCGAGTCTCTCTCTTTTTTCCTCCTTTCCCCCCCTTTTGTAAATCGAAGGAGGAGTCTTCCCCCCCATTGTAAATCGAAGGGGAAGTCTGTCACTCGTCGTCTTGTGTACGTCGTGTCAACACCTTCGTCAGGCACCTCCCTCCTTCCGTGTCCTCTTCGTCTCCTTCAACTGCAGGCGAGTTATTTCCTCTCACCCGAGCATCTCTGCCTCTTGATCTGGTGGCTAATGTCCTCGCCGCCTTCCTGTAAACTTTGAGGCGACTGATGCTGCCTTGGAATATAATTTTGACCAATTTATCACATTATAGAGTTGGTGATCGCCCGGGAGCGCATGGCAACTCTCCCATCGGGAAATGTTCTGATTGGTCGCTTGTTGGTATAGGAACAGCAGGGTGTCATCCTAGTGAAAATATACACCCAAATTTATTTTATATTTAGCAAATGTATAATACCGACTCGTTTAGTGTGATGAATGCACAAACGATGAAGCAACTTTTGCCGTTGCAAAAGTTGCGGGGAGCGTTAGTGGAAGTAGTATAAAAATTAGGGGTAATTGAAAGGGCCAAATGGCAGCGGGGCTAGCACATGGCGTCGAGGCCCCGCCCACCGCGACGCATGCGCAGTGGGCGGCGGCGGCCGAGGTCGGTGGGCGAGTCGGTGGCGGCGGCGGTCGGTCGGTCGGTGCCGCGTGTGTCGGCCGAGTCAACCTGTGTGTGTCGGTGCGGCCGCTCGCTCGCGCCAGTCATATGGAGGAGGCTCTCCGCGTGTGACTCCTCGCCACACTTAAGCCCCATAGAGAAGCCTCTTTACAAGGAGTTAGGGAAGCTGTGAGCGCGCGTGTGTGTGTATGTGAGTGTGCGTATGTGGTTCCGCTGCGGCGTAAAAGTGTTGAATTCTAAATGCGATTCAAGATGAAAACCCACATAACATGACCTAATAACGCATCCCGTTAAAGCCTTTTATTTATGAAATAGTAATAAGAGTGGAAATTCCTCATTTAGATACGATTATATATTTTTTCCCCCAAGGTGACGCTTGGCAAGTCATTGAGGAGGTATTGTGATCTGCGTAAGTGCGTAAGGAAACTTGTAGACGTCAGTGCGCGAGGTGGGCGGCCACGTGTCATGAGCGTAGGGCCCGCCCTCAGGCCCTCACGCCCCCGCACGCCCACAGGCTGGCCCTGACCACCCCCATAACGCCCACACGGGGGGCGCCTGCCTGGGGGGACCTAGTCTAGCCTCTAGGGTGATCTAACAGGAATATGAGTTGTGCGCAAGTGATGTACCAGCCGTACGCCCCGAGTCCCTATGTGGTGGTGCCGGCGGACGCCACCACGCCCCTGGCGGCAGCGCCCCCACACGTCTCAGGTCCTGCCACTCCTGGGGGCGGCGACGGGGTGCTGCATCTACCTTCATCAGCCACCACCACGCCCCACACGCCGCCCCACGCCCACCACCTGCAGCCCCTGCCGCAGGCGCGGCAGAGCGGCGAGGGTGCGGTGGGTCCGGTGCAGGGGGCGGCGGACCCCAGTGGGGGCCAGTGCGGCCAGCCTCGGCCCCAGTATAGGGCCCCCTCCAACGGGTCAGCCACGGCCGACCCCGACGCTCCTCCCCCAGAGAAGGTAAACCTTTCAGCCATATTCAAATGGGCGGCGCTACAGCAAGAAATTTCCTTGAATTTCCTTGAATTCCATCAGTTAATTTGTTGTGCGGGTTATTTGCATATTCACGGAAACACTGCAATTTGTTATTCTATTAAGAATTATACACAATATCTGGGACCTACGGCCAAAGTGGCGGTGAATCTCAGAATCACCTCTTGGATGAAAGAATTTGTTCACCGATTTGATATTTAGATACAATTTTAAAAATAATATTAAGAAGCTAGAAATTGTTAGCTGGGTGCGTTTTTAGCTAACCTAGCCTAGCCTATCCTAAGCGTGCTATATCCATAGCTTTACTAATTTATCCTCACCATACCTAAGCGATCTATGTGGTGATATATTCTATATTCAACGTTTTTTCGCGGGGGTCATATCCCAGGGAATATAGGATTAAGGACCTGCCCGAAACGCTACGCGTACTAGTGGCTGTACAAGAATGTAACAACTCTTGTATATATCAATACAATATAAATAATCTATACCTAACCTAATTGATCCTAACTAAACTTAAGCGATCCCTTAACACTAGCCAAGCCAAGACTGACCTAGCCTCCTAGCCTGACAGATCCATTCTTAACTAATCAAACCTCTTCCTGAACACGAACACATACACACACAAGAACACACACATATATATATATATATATATATATATATATATATATATATATATATATATATATATATATATATATATATATATATATATATATATATATATATATATATATATATATGTATATATATATTGAGTACAAAAGAAATATTGAGAAGATTCGTGTTAGAATCATTAATCTTACCCTTTAGGTCATATTCAACAACATTATATATATATATATATATATATATATATATATATATATATATATATATATATATATATATATATATATATATATATATATATATGTAATATATATTCACCATGAACTCTTAAATGACCTGACTAGGATTCGAACCGATGCACCTCAGAATCACCCCTAACCGTCGTACACACCGTACCGTGATCACTTCACCAATAATAGTCTATAAGGACTGGTTAGTCCTGGCGCTAAACGGGCTCACCATAGCCCGTGCTACTGGAACTTCTTGTTCTGAGTAGCTGAATCTAAAGCAACATGGTGCTAATTTATTCACAGCCCCGCTCCTGTGCCAGGTAAGTCCACTACGGGCTCACCATAGTCCGTGCTACTTGGAACATTTTGTTCCCCAGTAGCTGAATCTTAAACAATATGGTACTAATTAACTTAGCCCCATAACCAATTCCCCCCCCCCTTCCTCCCCTTCTACTCTCACCCCTCAATTTGGGTACATTTTTTTTCCATCTTCAAATATGACAAAGGTTGCATGAACAACCTTTCAGCCATAGTTCACTACAGAACTCTAAATGACCCAACCAGGATTCGAACCCCTAACACCTCGAGATCTGTGTATATTCAGCTCATTGTTGTATTTCAATTATAGCCTAATAAATAGCCTAATTTTTTTGGTTTGTGGAGGGGGATATTTGTACCATTTTTAAATTTAACAAATAAAGTGCAAATTATATATTGGACCCAGAACTGTGTAAGTCAAATATGTTTACCCAAGTTTTGGAGTTAAGTTAAATTCTTTAACTTGACTCTTTTTAAGTCATATTAAACTCTTTAAATTGACTATTGGAGTCATATTAAACTCTTTAAATTGACTCTGTTGGAGTCATATTAAACTCTTTAAATTGACTCTGTTGGAGTCATATTAAACTCTGTAAATTGACTCTTGGAGTCAGGTTAAACTATTTAACTTGACTCTTTTGGAGTTAAGTTAAACTCTTTTACAAGTTTAAAGTTTAGCTTAAGACCGGCGGAAAATTTTGCTTGATCGAAAACCGTCAATATTATCGTTTTGAAATAAGAATAATGATAAGAATGCTATTATTATTTTTATTATTATTATTATTATTATTATTATTATTATTATTATTATCGGGTGTCAACTTTACTAATGTATTAATTTGCCTTTCTTTGAATATTTTTCATGTCTGAATTATTTAATTCGATCGTTGAGTCTTTATGCTGCAATTGTTTGATTAGGCCTATTCAAAGTTTTTGAAAGGTCTGGTGTTATTTTAATTTTCTTCAAAAAAATTGTTTTTGTATTTTGTATTTCTTATCTTCCCCTCTCAATGTTGAATACAGCGAGAGGAGGGAAGTCATTTTTATTCTAGAGTGCTATAGTTACTAAATTGATGTTGTTATAGTTAGCAAATTGATGCTGTTATAGTTACTAAATTGATGCTGCTATAGTTACTAAATTGATGCTGCTATAGTTAGGAGATTGATGCTGCTATAGTTAGCAAATTGATGCTGCTATAGTTAGGAGATTGATGCTGCTATAGTTACTAAATTGATGCTGCTATAGTTACTAAATTGATGCTGCTATAGTTAGCAAATTGATGCTGTTATAGTTAGCAAATTGATGCTGCTATAGTTAGCAAATTGATGCTGCTATAGTTAGCAAATTGATGCTGCTATTGTTAGCAAATTAATGCTGCTCTAGTTAACAAATTGATGCTGCTATAGTTAGCAAATAGATGCTTCACCCTTCAGAAATATTGCTGCCACCATTACCATAGTCATCCTTATTTACTGCTATCATTACCATTAATTTTCCATCTCTTACTCTTATAATTGTATTACTACTATGTGGGTATCGTAATTTAATTATGGTTATTAATTTAATTAATTAAACATTTTAGTCATTATTATTATTATTATTATTATTATTATTATTATTATTATTATTATTATTATTTTAATAATAATATCATCGTGTCATGAAGCAAGACAAGAACTACAAAAATAGTCAACTCAAAATCAAAAACATTTTCATTTCATTTTTTTTTCATTTTGTTTATACACAATTTCAGTACTTTGGGTTTAAGAGAAAGTCGCAACATGCATCAATTAATTCATTAACGGTGAATTGGAATGAATAATTTGTCACTGATAAGATTGATATATATATGACAAAATGCGCTAGCCCCAGTGTGCTAGGCTAGGAGGCTATCGTTGGTGGCTAGGCTAGGAGGCTATCGTTGGTGGCTAGGCTAGGAGGCTATCGTTGGTGGCTAGGCTAGGAGGCTATCGTTGGTGGCCAGTGTGTTAGGCTAGGAGGCTATCGTTGGTAGCCAGTGTATTAGGCTAGTAGGCTATCGTTGGTGGCCAGTGTGTTAGGCTAGGAGGCTATCGTTGGTAGCCAGTGTGTTAGGCTAGGAGGCTATCGTTGGTGCCCAGTGTGTTAGGCTAGGAGGCTATCGTTGGTAGCCAGTGTGTTAGGCTAGGAGGCTATAGTTGGTAGCCAGTATGTTAGGCTAGGAGGCTATCGTTGGTGGCCAGTGTGTTAGGCTAGGAGGCTATCGTTGGTGGCCAGTGTGCTAGGTTAGGAAACTATCGGTGACGAAAAACGTGCCCAAACGTTTCTGCCCTGCCCGGGTATAGAACCCGGATCACCCGGTTATGAACCCATGACGTAGACAACTATGCTACAGGAGCCCCATACTGGGTTTAAACCTATAGTCGTACTGTTGTTGTGGAAGATTCATCTAATAGGAACAAATGTTGTAAGTAGCACGGCCAATGGTGATCCCGGAGTGGACTTTGAAAGCATTACATCATTTAGTTCTAGCGCGCTAACTTCGGTCTCTAATTAGCTGCTTAAAAAAATGGGCATAACACGAAAGTAGAAATTATTAATAATAAAAATAATAATTATAATAGTAATAATATTATTATTATTATTATTATTATTATTATTATTATTTTTATTATTATTGGACAAATTAAATTACATTAACGTGATGGATCAATGAGAAAATCAGTAGGAATCCTGAGGCATGTGCTTGGCAGTACCAAGTTTACACGGGTTCGAGCCTTCTTCATGACTCCTATAGATTTTATTAGTAGTAGTAGAAGCATTAGTATTATTATTAATTTTGTAAAAAAAAAATTCTGTGCACTAGTAATACCAGCAATATTCTTTCCATTATTATTATGTCTGATTTGCCGAGATAGACCTCGCGGTAGTCTGTATAAGCCTATATACCTAGGCCTATACACTCGCCTTTACATTAACTACGGGGAGAGAAAGAGAGAGAAGCAGTCTCTCCAGATCTTAATCGCATCCTTACGCACTCTGGTAACTATTTACCCAGTTCATTTCGTTCACAAATGGGTATGGTATGATCATTCATATCTAGTGGAGCGGGGATGGGAGATGGACCATACCCCTGCCCATACAGGGGGCACTGGGCAGGGAATGGAGGGGAGAATCAAATAGAGAAATGGGGGGAGAAGGGGGGGGGGTAAAGGGAAGGGGGGAGATTAGCAACCATGACTCATTTTCTTTATAGACAAAATTAAGTCTCTTATCAGATTGTTATTGAGTTATTCAGGGCGGCTAGCTGCCTCTTAGACTGTGTTGGAGAGGCAGCCTATCCTGAATGTGGTTCCTTAATTCAGAGTCAAGAATCCGAATCTTTCTCATATCTGAATGTTCTCCGCCCTTCCTCTACAATTTACCTGAAGTTAGGAGGCGAGGCTACATCACTGGAAAACAATTACAAAACTGCTGCTGTTTGTCAGCCTATCCTGAATGTGGTTCCTTAATTTAGAGTCAAGAATCCGAATCTTTCTCATATCTGAATGTTCTCCGCCCTTAGTTCCTCTACAATTTACCTGAAGTTAGGAGGCGAGGCTACATCACTGGAAAACAATTACAAAACTGCTGCTGTTTGTCACATCAATACAATCCAAACTCGTCATCTACCGCAGTTATGAGATTGAAAGGTCACAATGCCTCTAACTTGGTCATTAACTATACTGTTGACTTCAAGACGTGGCCCGGGTGACGTATTATTCCTCCTATATGTGAATTTTTTTGTCAGCATCTTCAGACTTATTTTCTGGCGTCAACCCACA